TGGGAATGTTATGATGAGCTAATATAGGCCTTAAGAGGATATGCTCACTATTGGCACTAAAAGTAAAACACTGATGGGAGATCTGTACACTCCTCCTAGCAGTAGTCAGGATGTGGGACAAAAAAAAATCAAGAGATAGAAAAGACATGTAAAAAAGGCACTATTATAATAATCATGAGGTGCTTCAAAATGCAGGTGGACTAGGAAAATCAGGTTGGTAGCAGATCTCAAGGTAAGGAATTCTGGAATGTTTACGAGATTTGTTTTTTCAGAGCAGCTTGTGGTAGAGCCCACCAGGAAACAGGCAATTCTGGATTTGCTAATAGGGCAGCCTTGATTCAGGAGCTTAAAGTGAAGGAATCCCTACGGGGTAGTGACCATAATATGATAGAATTCACCCTGCAGTTTGAGAGGGAGAAGCTGGAATCTGATGTAATGGTATTACAATTCAGTGAAGGTAAGTACAAACACATGATGGAGGACCTGGCCAGAGTTGATTGGAAGAGGATCCTAACAGGAAATACAGTGGAGCAGCAACGGCAAGAGTTTCTGGGATAATTCGGGAGACAGAGCAGAAATTCTTCCCCAGGAAGAAGAAACATACTAAGGTAAGGATGAGGCAACCATGGCTGACAAGAGAAGTCAAGGCCAGCATAAGAGCAAAAGAAAATGCATACAATGTGGTCAAGATTAATGGAAAGCCAGAGGATTGGGAAACCTTTAAAAACAAGCATTGGACAACTAAAAAAGCAATAAGGGGGGGAGAAGATGAAATATGAAAGTAAGCTAGCTAGTAATATAAAAGAAGATTGCAAGAGTTCTTTTTAAATAGGTTAAAGAGAGAGCAAGAGTGGACATTGGACTGCTGGAAAATGAGACTGGGGAAGTAATAATGGGAAACAAAGAAATGGCAGAGGAACTAAATAGGTACTTTGCATCAGTTTTCACAGTGGAAGACACCAGCAGCATACCAGATCTACAAGAGAGTCAGAGGACAGAGGTGAGTGTAATGGCCATCACTAAGGCGAAGGTTCTGGGGAAGCTGAAAGGTCTGATGGTGGATAAATCACCCAGACCAGATAGACTACACCCCAGAATTCTGAAGGAGAGAGATGAGGACACTTTGGAGGCATTGGTTGTGATCTTTCAGGAATCCCTGGAATCAGAGAGGGTCCCAGAGGACTGAAAATGGCTAATGTAACACCCCTGTTTAAGAAGAGTGGGAGGGAGAAGACAGGAAACTAAAGGCCGGTTAGGCTGACCTCAGTCATTGGTCAGATTTTGGAGTCCATTATTAAGGATGAAATTGCGCAGTACTTGGAGGGACATGATAATGTATGGCTGAGTCAGCATGGTTTCTTCAAAGGGAGGTCATGCCTGACAAATCTGTTAGAATTCTTTGAGAAGATAACGAGCAAGTTAAACAAGGGAGAGCCGGTGGATGTGATCCATTTGGACTTCTAGAAGGCTTTTGACAAAGTACTACACAGGAGGATGCTAAATAAGGTAGGTGCCCATGATGTTAGGGGCCAGGTATTGGCAAGGATAAAGGATTGATTGACTGACAGAATGCATGGAGTGAGGAAAAAGGGCTGTTTTTCAGGATAGCAGCTGGTGACTAGTGGAGTTCCCCAGGGGTCGGTGTTGGGACCACAACTATTCCCGTTACACATAACTATCTGGATGCAGGAACTGAGGGCACTGTTGCTGAGTTTACAGATGACACAAAGATAGGTGGAGGGACAGGCAGTGGTAAGGAAGCAGAGAGACTGCAGTAGGACTTGGACAGGCTAGAAGAATAAGTAAAGAACTGGCAGATGAAATATGATTTGGGAAAGTGTGAGGTTATGTATTTTGGTAGGAAGAAAAGAGGCATAGACTATTTTTTAAATGGGGAAAGGCTTCAGAAATTTGAAGCACAAAGGGCCTTGGGAGTCGTAGTTCAGGATTCTCTTAAGGTTAACATGCAGGTTCAGTTAGCGGTTAAGAAGGCAAATGCAATGTTGGCATTCAGAGTTTTCGAGAAGATTTGTAGCTCGAGCTGTGGATGTAGACTTGCTCGCCGAGGTGGTGTGTTTGGTTGCAAATGTTTCGTCACCCTGCTAGTTAACATCGTCAGTGCATCTGCAATGAAGTGTCAGTGTTCTGTCCCACGTGCGTAGTATGTAGCTGTCTCACTACACATGGACAATGAGGGACACAAATTCGACTGGGACAACACATCCATAATTGCACAAGCCAAACAGAGACACGCCAGGGAATTCCTGGAGGCCTGGTATCCTACCGGAACACTAACAACAAACACATTGAATTAGACCCTGTGTACAAACCACTGAGAAACAGAACTGGAAGTAATACCAACCACCCCAACAAATCGAGGCAGATATATGACAAGTGGGACGGAACACTGACACTTCCCTAGAGGCGCACTGATGATGTTACCTAGCAGGGTGCCAAACATTTGCAACCAAACCCACCAGCTTGGCAAGCATATCTACAACCTCAATGTTAGCATTCATTTCAAAACAGCTATTATTCAAGAACAGAAATATAGTGCTGAGACTGTATAAGTTTCCAGTCAGACAAGATTTGCAATGTTGTGAGCAGTTTTGGGTCTCGTTTCTAAGGAAGATATGCTGGTGTTGGAGGGGGCCAGAGCAGGTTTACTGGAATGATCCGGGGATGAAGGGCTTGTCATATGAGGAATGGTTGAGGACTCTTGGTCTGTACTTGATTGAGTCTAGAAGGATATGGGGGGATCTGATTGAAACTTACAGAACACTGAGAAGCCTGGATAGAGTGGACATGGAGAAGATAGGAAAAACTAGGACCCAAGGGCACAGACTCAGAGTGAAGGGCTGATTCTTCAGAACTGAGATGAGGAGGAATTTCTTCAGCCAGAAGGTTATTAATCTGTGGAACTCATTGCCACAGAGGGCTCCAGAGACCAAGTTATTGAGTGCATTTATGACAGAGATAGGTTCTTGATCAGTAAGGGGATCAAGGGTGATGGGAAGAAGGCAGGAGAATGGGATTGAGAAACACATCAACCATGATCAAATGGCAGAATGAACTCAATGGCTGAATGGCCTAATTCTGCTCCTGTGTCTTATGGTCTGATGACTTGCATGTTTATTTTTTCAATCTTCACCATAGATCAAAACTAAACTTGGACCGTGGCAATGTTAATGTCTTTTTTAAAAGTAATTTCCTGCTTTGTTGTGAGTTTGCATTAGTCAGAGAGTAAAGGAAGTGCTAGAGAAAATAAGGATGAACATTGTGGGGGAAATCAGATAGGAAGGGATGTAGGATCATGATGGAAAATTGGGAGGTATTAGATAGAATATAATAGCAAGTGGTGGAAGGGAGAGGATGGAGAGAGAGTCAGTGACAGAACGGGCTGGGTTGGTATGCAGTGATAAGGGAGAATATGCAATGAGGAACTGAGGAGGAGAAAGGTAAGGGAATCGAAAGTGGATGGAATGTAAGGGGAGGCTGGAAGATGTGGCTAAAGAGACAATGTGGGCTAATTAGGAAGGAGATTGAACAATATGACCCACAGTAATAGACTGATGTGTAAGGGTGATAGAGCAATTCAAAGATTGGTGTTACTATGTAAATGAGGCTTATCACATCTACAACACTAGTAAAGGATTGGTGGGAAAAGGAATGTACGTTGGGTGTTGGACACAGATGGAATTTGCAAGCTGAAGTAGTTTATTAATCACAGGCCCTCTTGATCAACGTCCCAACCTGATTACCATCCCTAACTGAACAACATCTCCCAGCCACACGATGACACTCTTAACCTAAGCCAATTTCCTCACCGATCTGACTACCTACTCACCCTGTTCCTCCATGCAACCACACAATTTATGTATCTGACTCATCTCATTCTACTTCTGCTCCTATATCATCACATGCAGCAGCTGGTGCTGAAAAGACATGGTGTGTCCTGTTTTCTCTGAGCCTGTTCCCCTCTGACAGAGTTCCCTGGGGGACACTGCATTGCTTATTTCTGTGAAAGCAGGCTCAGAGGTCCCCAGGAGAAAGGCATTGCAGTGTGAGTCTGGGGAATTCATGAGCTCAGTGGCAATCTGACAATTACTGCAGCTGCTCAGAAGATCCAGGTCCACATATTCCTTGTACCTGTCCTGGAAAATACCGTACAACCTCAGCAGCTCCCTCCACAACATGTCGAATAAAATGAATGAAAAGAAAAGCATCAAGATGAAAACAAATAAGAGGAAAAACAACATAAAATGAAGACAAGAGTAAAGAAATCACAAAAGGAATAGCGAGGCACAGAAGCAACCTAAAGGGCAATACAGAAAAGTGAGGGACTACATGCTTAACTGTGGCTACAAGAGAACTATTTTGTATTATTAGACAAATATTGGATTATTGAAGATTGTAAACACTGTGACATTTTTGGTTGATACTTTAACTGATTTAGTTACAATCGCTTCACAGCGAAACGTAACACAGTAGCTGTGTAGGGCCTCCCATGAATGTGAGGTTACATTCAGTTTCAGGCTGATGATATATGGCACTACAAGTTACTCATCTCAGCTGAGCATAATAAGGCTGTTCTGCATGGACAGAATAGGAGTTGTCTATGTCCACACTTGAATACATCCCATCAGCCAACTGTAGAAAAATTGTTCCAGGGTAGAGAGATTGACCATTAAGCCATCCAGCTCAAATTTATCCCCATAGTATGTGGCAAGGAGGTACTTAATGGAAGTGAAATAAAGAAACAAACCAAAGTAATGAAATACTGTATAAACAAATTTTAAAAGATCAACATTGTACTGGAGTTTGAGGTTACTTGAATTGTACTGTATGAAAATTGGAGGTTGTATATCTAAGACAAGAACTTGAATTTGGTACAATATTCTACAAGAGTTAATGGATTAACTTGTAGATTTGAGCTCTGGCTATGTAATAGTGTATTGTGATATACTGTACATGCTGTACAAATGTTGTATGTTGCACAGGCTGAATATCATCCTTTCCAGAGGCCCCAGGAACTAGTGGACTACTGCAGAAGCCATGGAATAGTCTTTGAAGGGTACTGCCCACTAGCTAAAGGACAGGCTTTGTCACATCCTGACATCATCAAAATGTCGGAGAAATATAATTGCTCACCCTCTCAAATCTGTATCCGGTGGAGTATACAAGTAAGTCTGAAGTCTTATCTGATGTACATAGCCATGATTTCTAATTTGGTTAACTTTTTCTCAGATGATAAAGCCATATCTGGAGTTTAGTCACAAACCAAAACACGTTAGTTGTTTTGAATGAAAGAACATTAGTGAAACTAAAAAAAATCCTTCAAAAGGTTCTAATTATATTAAATGTTAACAGTAATTTGAATATTTCTAAAATAGGTAATTATATAAAGATTACTGGGTGCTGCTGTGAGGCTTGAAATATCCACTGTCAGTAATCTTGAATACGCCTAAAGCTGACTTGAAATCATAGACTTGAGCTTATTGGGCTTTCCAGATTTAAAAGTTGCAGGTTGGGACAGAGTCTTTACGTGTGTAAAGACTGAGATGGAGCCTGGATGGTCCAATGGATTGTATTAATAGTAACTCATATTTCAGTAGCACTTTTAATGTAATAAAATTTAACAAAATGCTTTAGTGGAATATTATAATGGACTATTGATACAAACTATGTAAAATATGAAGGCCAAAGACTAACAACTTGATCAAAGAGGCAGGTTTCGAGGAGCGTCTTGAAGTTGGAAAGAGAGTTTGAGAGGTTTAGGGAGGAAATTCCAATGCTTAGGATCTATGCACCTGAAGGCATCACTACCAATGGTGGAGTGATTAAATTTGGGTGTGCTGAGCAGCCAGATTTAGATGAGTGCATACACTTCAGACGGTTGTGGGGCTGGAACCTAGGACCACTGTCATCTCAAAGGACAAGAACAGCAGATACACAGGATCACCACCACCTGCAAGTTCATCTCCACATCATTACTGTCCTGACATGGAAACATGTCACTGTTCCTTCAGTTTCACTGGGTCAGAATCCTGGAGCTCCCTCCCTGTGGTCTTCATCAAATGGACTGCAGCAGTTCCAGAAGGCAGCTCACCACTTAATGGAAATTAGTAAATGCTGGCCCAGTCAATGAAGCCTACATTCCCCCGGAATGAATTTTTAAAAAGGCTACAGATAACCAATAATTTCTGAAGGATCACAAGACCTAGGAGCAAGAGTAGGCTAATCAGTCCTGTGAGCCTACCCACAATTCAATAAGATCGTAGCTGATCTCGTGGTCTGAACTCCACTTCCCTGTCTGGACCCATCTCCTTGTCTTTCAAAGATATGTCTAATGCTGCTGTAAATAAATTCAAAGACCCAGCCTCTACTGCTTTCTGGGGAATGGAATTTCATACACCAATGATCCTCTGAGAGACAAAACAAAAATCTCCATTTTATTAACATGAAGACTTCTTATTCTTAAATTGTTCCCTAGTTCTAGTCTCCTCCACAAAAATATATCCTCCTGGTATCCACGCTATGAAATCCGCTCAGGATCTTCTATATCTCAACAATATCACCTCTCATTCTTCTAAACTCCAAAGATTATTGGCGCAAATTTGTACAACCTTTCTTCATGAAATAAGCACTTGGCATCCCAGGAATGAATCAAGTCAACCTTTTCTGAACTGCTTCTAACAGTTGTATTGTGGCTAGTATGTGTGAGCCCAGGCAGGACTGTATTTGAATAACTAAACTTCGAGGTAACAGGGTAATAAGAATATATTAGGACAGATGACCAAAAGCTTCATCAAAGTGATAACTTTAACAAGTGTCTTAAAGGAATAAAAAGAGGTGAAAACCAAAAGAACTGCGG